TTTTTTCATTAACTGATTGGGGAATGTCTCACTTGTTCTTCCTTCAGGTTTGCTGATAACTCCAGTAGTTCCTCTCCACCATACCTTAGTTTAATAAATAATTTCTTCAAGCCGGAGAAGCTAACAAAGGAAGGGATGAGGTTTGAAGAAAAGACAGTGATGGAAATAATGAAGCTGAACAAGCAAATAAAGCAAGCTCAAATCCAACAAGAACCACTAATGGAGGAAACCAGGCAGCTATACAGTGAGAAGTTCCTTGTCCAGGCTGAAAACAAATTCTTTCTGGAATACCTGACCAACAAAACTGAGGAGTGCAGAAGGCAACCTGAGAAGCTGTGGAACCACCATTTACAAAAAAGTAGGGAAATTGAGCAAAGCAGAAAAGAATCAGCCTCCAAATATGCAAAACAAACTTCAGTGTTTAAAACAGAGCTCTTGCAGAAGGAAAAGATCCAATCCAATCTGAAGCAGCAGTTGCAAGCAATGAGGCACATTTCCCTATTAAAGGAGGAACAGGAGAGAGAAATGCAGACATTACAGGGGGAGAAAAGGCAAATCCAAGCTGACACGGCTGCCAAGAAGGAGGAAGTCCAGGTTCAGTTCCTCCAGGAAAAAGCATTACTGGAGAAACAACTGAGTGAACTAGACATGAGGCAGTTGGGAAAGAGAGAAAGAAAGGAGCTTAACAGGAAGTCCCAGGCCTTGGAGTTAGCAGCAAAGCAATGTAATTTTGAGTTCTGCTGTGGCGTCAACAGAGAGAACCAGCAGTTACAGAAGGAATTACTACAGCTGATTCAGCAGTGCCAGGAGTTGCAGACTGCTCAAAATCAGTTAAAAAATCAGAAGCAGCAGCTGCAGCAGGAACAGTGGTATGTGGAGTGCTTAATCCAAGGGAGGGAACTACTGCAAAGAAGGCATAATTGGTGCCTGGAAGGACCAGGTGCTCCAAAGACAATAACCCCTTCCCTAGGCACCAAACCAAGGATTAATCCAAAGTAATTCCTAGAATAACACTGATTAAATAAATATTGGAGCAAGTTTGTTAGGTGCTGCATAAACCTGTTGGGAAGGCTTTTGAGTCTGATTGCTATGGTAAAATATCACATGTTCTTGTGCAGGATTACATGTTTCCTAGCAGTACTGCCAGATGTTTGTGACTGGCTTCCCTTAATTAGGTTTTTCTTTAATTAGCTCTTGTAAGATGTTCCTCAAACCGCCAGATAACCTATTACCATTTGCCAAACACTCATAGATTAAACTAGCATAAGAAAACCACCTTGAGGAAGTAAGAGGAAAATAGTTGTGTGATTTATTTCATTTGGCTATATTAGAGTTCTTTATAGAAAGAGCACCTTTAATAGCATTTCAGATTGACTTTGTGCTTTCTGCTGTGTAAGCAACCAGTATCAGTTTATCCACTTGCCGCATCAACTCCCACACATGTAGTCTGAAGCTTTTTAAATATGGTTTTCTCATTAGTGAAAAGGTACTCTAACGCAAGTTCAATAAACTCAAAGCAAAAAAAGGTACTAGGCAGAAAGGCCTTTCATCTGATGCTCAACCCCTCACAATTTTAGCTGTGAGCAAACTAAGATAAAGGGGACATAACAATAGGCCAATTTTTACTTTTGAAAATGTTTTCTTTGAAGAAAATCTCTGGCATTAATGAGGTGACCAAATGCCTCTGCTGGTTTCAGTAAAATATATCAAAAGAAGTATTTTTTAATATTTGGGCAACTTTAGAGTCTTGTGCCATCTATTTCCCTAGCAACATTTTCAATTCTAAGACAAGATTACTTAAATACAGTAACTTAGTTTTAGGTCATTTATTACATTTTCTTACTATATGTGTACTTAATAGTATGAGATTACAGAAAATTAATATGTACCATATATTTATGCCTGTTTAGAGTGGGAGTGGTATTTTAAGTAAGTATAGACTTTTCATGTTTCTTTTTGCACTAATGACATATTGTTGGTTAGATCCATGATTTAATTCCGAATCCTAGTAAAATAATATAAACCTTTATTCTAACATTGTTCCTCTATGGGAAAATATAATCAACTTTGTTTTCCAGAAATTGTCAGTGATGAAAAATTTCAAAATAACTTCCCTGAATTTTGTTTTATTCATATGTAAAATGAATTCCTTTAAAATTAGATTAAAAGGGATTATCCCTCAATGTTCCTTTAACTTCTAGCTTTGATAATTTTTCTGTCAATTGTATAGTTACTAAACTTTTTGTTAAAATAAAAACCTTGGGACTAAAATTTATCCACTTTTATTATTATTCCAATGTATTTTCTACTCTTATTACCATTTCTGCATCTTATTGACATTAGTGTGCACATCATAAAACAGAAGTTTTAATGCAAAAAGTAGAACTTTAGATACCATGCAGGTACCTTAACTTGAATTTTTTGTGAGTTTCAAAAATACAGAAGGAATTAACTTGAGAAATACAGTATCCAAGACAAATTTAAAGCCCTATTCTCTGGATGCAAAAACCATGAAAAGATGTACACCTAAGGCTGAAAAGGAGTTGGAAAGTAGGAGAGATCTACAACATTACCCCCCTGGCCATTGCTGTCTCAATTATCTAATTCAGGAGTGGGTAAGTTCCATCTTGTCTCAGTTTATTTTTAATTCCTGTCATCCCAGATAATGGATCTGGGATCCACACTGCTTGTGGCTGCCCCTTTCAGAGTGAGGCATCTGAGGGCTTGAACACTTTAAAGGGTAAATAAATCACCTGACAAAGGTACTTTGAAATCCATGTCTGCAAGTGCACTGAAGTTTGACCAACCAAGATTTCAATCCACTTCTGTTTTGCTATGAAGATTAAACAGAGTAATGTTACAGCAAGTGTGTTTAGATGGAAAAGACCTCTGAGGTTAAACTTAGAATTTAAATGATAAAATGAGGCCTACAGTGCAAAAACTGAGGAAGAAACCATTCCAGACAGAGGGAACAGTAAATGCGAAGTCCCTAAGATGGAAATGAGCTTGGTAGGTTCAAGGACCAGAAAGAGCAACAGGGCTCAAGTAGCTGAGGAACGGCCAGACAACATGGGTAGAGCAGAGGAAGATGAGGCTAAACAGGCTCAGCAGCAGAACAGAGGGCCTAGTAGGACAAGGCAAAGGGAGTGATGTTTATTCTAAGTGCACTGGAAGCCATTAGACTTTTAGCAGGTGAATGAGGTCTGACAATTTTTAAAAGTCACTACAATTGTTATGCGGGTGTACCCAAGCCAATAAAAAGCAGCAGACCAATTAGGATGCTATTATAGTCTGGGTAAGAGGAGGTGGTGGTTGGACTGGGATGGCTGAAATCAAAGTAGTGAACAAAAGACATGAAGGGGAGCAAACTCGGGTGGAGGGAAAATGAAAAGTTAAGACGAATAATAAGACCAAGGTGAGCAGAATACTTTGTGTGAACTGATCTTTAAAATGAAGTATTTCAGACATACAAAAGATTATAGGAAACTAACAAATTCACTGTCCACCCTAAGAAATAACTTAAAAATTCACTTGTAGTCGCTCTGGATCCCAGAAGCACTATCCTAAATTTGATGTTTATCATTCCTGTGCATGTTTTCATGCTTTTACATATATTAAAATATGAATATATAATATGTAAACATTTTATGTACATGAACAATATAGAGCATTGTTTTAGCATGTTTTTAAACCTTGTGTAAATGATACACTTGATTTATTTTGTAACTTGCTTTTTTTAGACATTGTTTTTGAGATTTGTTCCTACGGATACAGAAAGCCCTAATTACATAGCTGTAGAGAACCCCACTGCATGACATCACAATTTATCCCTTTTCCTGATGGACAGTTAAGTCATGTACTAGGCTGACAAAGGACCCAAATGTGTATAATGTCTCAAACAACAGACATTTATATTTTGCTCATATAACAGTCTCAAGAGAGATGTTCCTAGTTGTCAAGTAGTCCTTGGGGTGACTCAGGAAACCAAGTACCTTCCATTTTGAGCTCTACCATCCCTCAGAGCCGCTAGTCAGCTGCCCCTTCACTACACGGGAAGGGGTTGGAGGACTGGGAAATGTGGTCTGGCCATTTGTCCCATAATCCTGTAACTCTGCCAGGTGAAAGCAGGCTTTGGTGGTTTCCAGTATCTCTCCATTATAAACTGTATAGCTGACTCTTGAATGCTGGGGTTAGGAGCACCAACAGACCCCGCCAAAGTACAGTCAAAAATCTGCGTACAACTTTTGACTCCCCCAAACCTTAACTATTAATAGCCTATTATTGACCTTACCAACAACATAAACAGTCAATTCACATAGTCTGTATATGTTTTAAAACTGTATTTTTACAGTTAGCTAGAGAAAATTTTTCAAATTGTTGCAAATCTCCAAAAAATGTCCAATATAGTTATTGAAAACAATTTGCGTTTAAGTGGACTAGCACAGTTCAAGCCCGTGTTGTTCAAGGAACAACAGTATTGCAATATCATTATTTTACATCTTCTGGTATACCTGGGCAAGATGACTTTTTCTGTAGGCATGAAACTGCTGAGTCTTAGGGCGTATCTTTAACTTTACTAAATACTGCCAAATCGTTTTCAAAGTGATTGTAGTAATGTATATTCCAAACCATGCATCAGTGTTCACATTGCTCCACAACCTAACTATATCTGATATTATCAAACTTGTTTGTTATTCCAATAAAAATTTTTTTTTAACTTAACAACTCAATGGTATGACTAAGATAATCTGTACTGAGTCCTGCTGATCCCTGGCTTCAGGAAGGAAAAGTAAATGGAGTGCCTGCAAGAGGCCTGGATGAGATGGGGCACATTTCCTCTATTCACTTTAAAGCAAATTATTTATTTAACCAGCAGATTTCAGGAGCTAAAGAACTATAGGGACAATAGCATTTTGTAATTATTTCAAACTCATTCCCACCTCTAGCCATTTTCTTACTCACAAACACTGAGTCAGCAAGGAGTCAAGTAGCAGGTAGGAGTCAATGAACAACTGGAAACATTCTGACCGAGTCATTTATTTCTTTTGTCGTTGCCAAACATTCCCCAAGTCTTACTCACCAGAAATCATTACAGCTTCTTCATTTCTCCTACCTGACAAACCTCATCTACTGAAAGGGTTTTAAGGGCACAACTGCCAATGAAAATGTTGAGTGGATATACCACAGCCTTCCCTTGTTTCCCAACTCCCTGTTCTGACAGTATCCAAACCTGGTTTCAATGCTCCCTTATTTGAAAGTGGTCTTCACAAAAGCCCACATTTTAAAGCTATATTGAGGAGCACAGAGAACAGTTTAAGAGTGGTAACAGCCTTTCAGAATTTGAAAAGGTAGTGTTTGTCCATATCAGGGTTAAGGGTCCTTTGCTTTTTATGTGGCATATGCCACAAAAACTGTCAAGAATATGTAAGACCGGTATTTATGGAAGAGGATAAGAGGATGCGGAACACAAGAGAGCTGCTCTAACCAATGCTCCAGAGAAAGCCAACCTCAAAGAGAATTAGACCATTAGACATTACCAGGTAGGCATGAGGTACAGAAAAAGAATTTTTCTTTCTACCAAATAAATATCTATATCTGGTGTCAAAGTCTCAAGATATGGAGAGAATAGAACTCCACATATAAAAGAGGACAGAGGACAGTATTCTCAGAAAAATCAGAGACAAAGGTAGCCTAAAGGGAAGAATAAGGATTTAGTGGGCTATACACTAACAAGTGAGGTCAAGGCCAGAGAAAGGGGAATGTGTACCTTGGCTACCAATCTTAGGGGCATTACCAGGAACACTGGGATTCTGTGCCAAAACATCAGGGCAATGTGGTATTTCTGTCTTCAAAACAGAGGCGGCAAAACAAGCATCAGGAGGGCACTGATCACAGCAACCAATGAGGCCTTAAGCACCAGGAAAGTGGAGACAGCATTTACTGCTGCTTCTATTTTTCTTTCCAATCATTTTGGCATTTGGGAGACATTACTCCTCAGGCTGCTTTTCATGCCTGTGGGTCTAGTTAGTCTGCTACCTGGGACAAAGTATTTCTTAGGAAAACCAGTGTAGGGAGGTTCTAGCTTTTTCATCCTAAATCTGTTTTCTGACTTTCAATACCAAAACCATACTGAGAGAACATACAGCTTCCATAAAGTTTGTTTCCCAAGAAGAAAGGGAAACATTATTACAGGAGTGACAAGCTTCTAGCTTGTTGTATCACAAATACAAAATAGTAAATCACTATGGTTTTTCAAAATTACTTGGGAATCATTTTATAAGCTAGATGATGAAGTGACTACTAAATCAGTGGAGCTTCCAAGAACATTCTACACCCCAGGAAGGAAAGGAAAACCCAACAGTTTTCTTAATCTTGAAAAGGGCAAGACGGGCCTATAGTTGGCCTTAAGAGGGAGTGCTTTGGGCAAGATAAGAGAAAAACAAGAGGACTCCAACGAGGCATAGCAGGAAAACCTACCAAAAGGGGTTACGGGTAGGATCCAAGTGAGTAAGTAGGGAAAAGAGTGAAATTTACACAGGAGGAAGGAGCTGAGAATGTCACAGCCTTACACAAACAGCCAAAAGGAAATTTCTCTTCCCTAGGCCCCCAAGACTCAGTCCTCCCAGCACAGGTCCCCACGAAAATAAGCATCACACCCACTCTCCTAGGAGCACTTGCACACTGACTGCCTATTTCCTTCCTCGTTTATGGTTAGTCTTTGGGGGCTTTACTTTCTGGAACTGCGTGGGCACTGGCTCCTGCTCTGGTTCCTTACAGGAGGTCGACACTAGCAGGTCCTCATTGTTCCTCCTCTGCTCCTTCCCTACTCTAAGGCTCAGCTCTGCCTCGGGGAGCTCAAGGCCAGGCTGCTGCTGCCTTCTCAGAGACCTTCTGCCCTGATGCTGCTGCCTCCGCTTTTCTTCTTCTTGCTGCCGCTGCTTTATCTTCATCAGCTTTTCAAAGCTTTTGGTTGTTGTCGGGTTTACAACAAACCAATCCTACACAGGCAAAACAGAAACATCAATTCAGTCAAAACATAGTGAAGAGCATAAAGAAAGGGAGTGGGAAGAATTTTTAAAAGGCATGGTGAGGTCAGAATACAGTAAGACGGCAACAGCTATGGAACCACAGATTAGAACTCTATGTTGAACTTGAGAAATTCAGTACAAAGCAATCATTATGAGCATTTATTGTGTAAACATGATTTAGGGTATTTCAGTAAGTGATCTACAAAGTCTGTTTACTTAGCATCATCCCCCCTCCCCCATTTATCTCCTTTGTAAAAATCTCCTGAGATGTAAGGCACTGGGACATAGGGGATTTTTATTTCACTACAGTGTAGTGGTTAAGTATGAATTTTGCAGGCAGACTGCCTGGGCACAAATTCCAGCTGTTTCTACCTTTGTGATCATGGGACAACCACTTAACCTCTCTGAGCCTCAATTTTA